TAAATTTTAAATGAAAACAGGTGACAAATTCAAGAAAAACTACACTGAGGTGTTTAGATTCACTTGTACTTTAGAGGGAAGGTTCAATGCGGAGCAGTATAAAGTTGTTCTTGTTCTGAGTACAAATAATCATCATAAAATAATTTTAATATGGTAAAAAGAAATGTGCTACAACAACTAGCATACAAATTAATGGCTAGATCGTATTATATTGGAAATGATGACATGACTTTGGCTTATTTGCTGTATGCAAAGAAATGTTTAAAAAAAATCCTGTACATGTCATCGGTGAATATTTCATTCGTTTTCAGCACACTGCTATAATACAGAAAGCTACTTTTGGCTGCTCCCTTATTCACAAGGGGTCACCACAAGGGGTGGCTCTTTGTATTTGATCTGGTAGATTTTTATGCTGAATGCCCTTTCTGATGCAGCCCCTGAGGAATTTGTATCTTCTCCCAGAAACAAACTGGGGATCTTTTGCTTATTAGTGTAAACCACTACAGTGTGGAGCCACGGTACAGGGTCAGAATACATTCTTCATCGATAAATGAGGGATTTTTTGTACTGTATTGGGAATGTAAACTGCCAACATTGTGAACACAACAGTTTGTTACATTTTAAGTATGCCAATCATACTCATATTTTAAGCCAATAAAAAAATAAAAAACCTTTTGTCTATAATTACTTTATTTGTTTTGATTTTTTGTCTTTTTGCCACTGTGTAATTTAGGGTGTTTCACCTTTGTTACATAGAATAGTTTCACTTAAAATGAATCATTTGTTGAGTGTTGCTCTGCCTCACGTTCATATTTAACACATTTTCAATAATGCAGTTTCTTAACATCCAACCAGATCAGTTTAAAGCAATATATAATGTGGGTTGCATGAATTTATCCATAATATTCTGTAATCAGAGCTAAAGAAAAAAAAAAGTTACAATATAATTGGTGCTAAAATACTATAATCACTAGCCACTACATTAGGGACATCTGCTTGGTAATGCAAAGATCTAGTCAGCCAACTCTGTGCATTTAAAGATGTTAAAGATGACCCGCTAAAGCTCAAACTGAGCAACAGAATGGGGAAGAAAGGTAACTAAAGGGACTTCATGGTTGTTGGTGCCAGATTGGTGGGTTTGAGTATTTGATCCAGATCCAGGTTTGATCCAGGGATTTTCACACACAAGCATCTGTTGGAGTTGGAGGTGAATGGTCCAAAAAAAATGATGACATCCAGTGACCAGCAGTTCTCTAAGTGACAATAACGTATTTTTGTCAGAGGTAAGAGAAGAATGCCCAGAATACTTATAGCTGACAGGAATGCAACAGAAACTCAATTCACCTCTCATTAGAACCAAGGTATCCAGAAAAGAATATCTGAATGCACATCAAACTCAAAAGACAACTCCTCTCAACTAAGAACAGGAAACTGACGCTACAATTTGTAAGACCTCACCAAAATTGGCCAAAATAGAATATTGTAAGAATGTCACCTAGTCTGATGAACCTCGATTGCAGTTGCAACATTTGGACGACCTGGTCAGATTTTGGATTAGCCCTGCCTGTTATCAGCAGTTCAGCTGCTGACTATGTCCATCTTTTTATGGCCACTCAATTTCAGACTGGCTTCTTGAAGATGACAATGACTTCACTGTACTCAAATGCCCTGCACAGTCACAAGATGTGATTCCAAGATGTGAGCACCTTTGGGATTTGGTGGAACAGTACAGTTCATATCATAGACAAGAAATCTGCAGGAACAGTGCAATGCTGTCATGTCATGCCAACCTGGTAGTTTAAAATATCCAGTTTATTTTTTCCCTTTTAACCAACAAAATTTCCACAAGTTGTAGAGCACAGCCTTACCAATGAACAGTCATTTTGTTGTATTTTTCCCAACAAACGTTGCTACAACCTGTATGCTATCATGTCTAAGTATTTGAACATTTTGTTTTTATATGGCCACTGTCATTTGTTTAGGTTGATTAGGTTTATTCCTTGCTATTTTAAACTTCAGATGACCTTAAATAAAATGTTTTGTAGCATTCCTCAATACTTAAAAATGTCCAGAAAACTGAATAAAACAGCTACTCTCAATGAGGAAGTGGATGGCATAACCCTCGGCTGCCTGTTTAGTGCAGGAAGGGACTTAAACGACAAGCAAGATGGAATGTGAGTACCTCCCTGGATATGTAGTCAAGCTAAAGTGGCACTGCTCAGAAAAGTTTGGTTACTAATCCCAACAAGTATGACCAAAAGTGAAAGTTCAAAGAAGCAGACAGGGTTTAGAGAGTCTGTGAAAATTCCTGGTATTACTCTTGAACACTGCAAAATGTTTGTAGCATAGAACGAAGAAATACTATTATATAACTTTTTTTTTGTGCTCCAACTTGTAAGTAAAACTGCATCAAATCAATAATTTCTTTTCTTTTTTAGAAGTAACATTTTGACAGCTGTACATCCCTACAGACATGGCACTGAGTTAACTTTTGTACGAACTATCTGGCACATTTTTGGCTTTCTGTGGATCTGATGCAAAAGTGGAATATGCGTGTTCTTTTATCTTTTGAGGCAGAATTATACGCAGTGATTTTGAGAGTTTTATTCCTCTACCAACCCTTGAAAATGTATTTATATTATTCTGTATTTAGCTCTAATCTTCCAGCTTTTTAAAACTCAATTATAATATTAATTATTTGTTATCATAGGAAACATGTTGTCTCAGTTAGGATTGAGGTCACTGACCTGTCTGGTAACAGCTTATGTAGGGAGAAAACAGCTGAAGCTCATTTGCTAAATGAGGGCATAGACTTAAAAGTGGCACCACAGTGCATCAGCCAAGACAAACAGCTACTGATTGACTCAACTGAATATGTGGTTTTGTTCTAATTTGCTATTAAAATGGAGTCTTGTATTGCTGTCTGAAATGAAGTTGAGATTAGCACTGAGTGTCTAACTTCAGGTTTATTTTAATATAATAGTGTTATTTAACTGTTACATAGCTGTGTGTTCCCATCATGAGTCCTGATGAAGTTAGTAAGGAGAGTCTCCACAGAGCTAATGAGAGATGGCCACAGTGACTAGACATGTGATGAGGAAAATACAGACTTCATGTGACCCATGGCTAAGGAGCGGCTCATAGAAGAAGACAAACACCCATTTGTGTTGTTTTCTTCAGTCAGTACTAAACCACCAAGGAGAATCCACCAGTCAGGCAAGTATGACATCTTTCATATTTGAAAATCTTTATAAAAGTCATAGCATTTATCTTGTTTTTTCATTTTACACTGTTTCATTTTGCCTAAACGGAATGTTGTAAGTTGAAACCTTGTTCTAATTTTTATCTTTTATGGTTAGAAAAGGGATCTTTATAATTGGTGCTAGAAGGATAAATGTTAAATTTACTACACATAGAGGTTAATCAGTCTTCAGGCATGTGTCGATACAAGCTAATGAACAAACAAGAAGAATCCATTTGGAAATAAAAATGTGAACACAATAACTTGCTTGTAACTGCACAGACAATATTTCTCACCAATCAATGATAAGCTTGTAAGTTGTGGACAAACCACCATATACCTACACTTTGACTTAATCCATAATAAGTGTCTGATTTTAATTTATTTTCTTGATCGGTAGATGTGGGATTTTTTTTTAGCCATACACTGCCAAAAAGTGACAAAAAAATCCAACACCAATGCATTCAGTTAAACAGTAAATATTTGGATTTGAGAAAGCTAAAATCATAATCTTTTCACCAGATATTCTCCAACATGTTTTAGATAATTTCCCGTAACTCGGCAGCCACATTAAACTGACTCTTTGATTAACTACTTCCACTGGGATGCGCAGTATGACATGAGTATTTAGCTGTTTGTTATACAGTATATCTGTGTGTGGGGAAAATTGGAGATCTCGAGTGACCTGTCTGATCTACAATACTGTGCAAAAGTCTTGAGAGCCCACATTTCTCTATGTTTTGCTAGGAAGATGATAAATTCATGCAGCAATTAAAAATTGATAAGTCAAAAACCAGAGACTGCCTAACAAGCTTGAAAATGAATATTTGGTCTGATTTTTATTCTTCAATGAAGTCTGAGCTGTCTTAGGCAAGCCTTCTTTTAATTGATCCAAGTTAGGTGTGTTTGAATGATTGATAAGTTGTTGTAAAGTGGCTTAACAGAGTAAAAACACATTCATCTTAAAACGGTCAGGTAAAATTACTGGACTGAAAACGAGTGAAAAAGCAACCAATACCCTATGAAAGACCTCCAGAAAGAACTGTTGCTCAAGAACACTTTGAAAAATTCTAAGAGAGTCTGATTCATTGAAAGCAAAATCAAAAGAAATGAGTTGTGGTTCAAGACTTTTGCACAGTATTGTAGCTGTATGTCCATGACGGTTCTCAGTCATCCAGATCATGGTAATCTAAGGAGCCTGGAAAGAAAAAAAAGACTAGGCTTCTTTACATTTCTTGAAGATGACAAATCTGGGACTCCACTGATTGGTCTTAGAACTGAAGAAGCTCCTCAGACGAGAGGTGAAACATCTTCAAGAAACTTAACGAATTCTAGTTGCTTTTTTCCCCCCAAGCTCCTTAGATTATCATAGCTGTACCTTGAAATGGAAATTAGAGAAAATAATTGAGGTGATTATATACAAAATTGTAAGCATCTCATGAAAACAATAAACTTAAGTTGTATCTGTTCAACTTGGATGTTCACTGCCCTTTGATTTGTTCAGTCAAAATGACCCAGTGATGCATCAATAATGTTGAGGTTCAGGATCTAGGGAGGTCAGTCCATGACTAGTAATAGTCCACTGTTTTTTTGTTTTGTTTTGTTTTTATGTTTACTTGTTTTGTTGTTGTTGTTGTTGTTGTTTGTTTGTTTTTTAATCTAGACAGGCCTTTACTGCATTGGTGGTGTGTTTGGCATAATTTTCATGCTGAAAAATTAAGCTGTTGCCAATCAGGCATTATGACTCATCTCAGAGCATATTGCCTCCCTTTTGCTATTTTTAAGCTAAGCGTAAATATACAGTAAATCAGTGTGAATTTGTTCTTCTCCCTTTGTAGACAGGCGTTCTCTTGGATGAAACCAAAGCGAACAGGATGCAAACCATAAAGACGGTGGAGACCCAAGTCCCCTTTCTAAAAGAGAGTTTCTTCACTACCACGTTCAAAGGCCGGCGGAAGAGCAGTGTTACCAATATCCTCCGTAAACAGCAACACTCTCTTCTTAATCAACAGCAGTGTATTTTAGAGCATCAGCCACACAGTCCTAAGCTCTTTCATTCTCATCCAGTTGAAAATGGACCGGGGCAGCAAACCCCCCAGCATCACCGACTTGCTCGCTCAACCAGCAGCCCGTTATGCAAGGCAGCTGAGAATGCAGAAGCAGATGGGGATAGAAAGGAGGAGCAAAAAGAGAGAAAGGCTCAGAATGTGAGAGAGGCTGAGCTGGAAAGGGGGGGAGAGGGAGCAGTGAGTGGTAGTGAGCCCGTGGCTGTCACTGCCAGTCTCCTCCTCCTTTCATCATCAGCCTCAGCAGTGCTGGGGGAGCCAGCATCATCCTCACAGCTGCCGATAACTGTGGTGGGCAGACAGCAGGGATTAGCTGGCTCTGAAAGGGCTCTGACCAACAGAGGACCGGCGGCAGCAGTAGCTCATGAGGAAGCCGAGCATGCCCAATCTCGACCCCAGCATCATGGCCTATTAGCCAAAGGTGTTCGTCTACTCAGGAACATGGGGAACCAGGAAGCAAAGCAGAAGAAAGGAGGAGCCAGCGGTGGACCAACAGGGGATGTTTCTTGTGATGGTGAGGCAGAGGAGCGAGAAGTGGACAAAAAATCCAAAAAGTCCTACAATAAAACAAATAAAGGAGCAGGAGAACATGGTGGTAAGAAGAAATCAAAGTCTGAGTCAAAGGGTTCTGTGTTTTCTGGAATGAAGATCAGGAAGAGTTTATCCAAGGTGAAAGGGTTGTCTAAGGATGATATGTTGGAAGATGGGAGATCAGCACATGTTGGCAAAGCAGGGGTCGAGTCTGGTGCAGAGAAAAGCCTGTCAGCTGATGAGATGGGCATGCTGTCAGATGTTGAGGGGGATCTAACCCATTTAACTGCAGACAGCCACGAATCTATGGGCGATGAGACTGGCCGGAAGACAAGTTCAGGGTCAGATGCTGAACTCTACAGTTTTCACTCAGCGACTGAAAGTGAAGACCTGCTCTCTGATATCCAGCAGGCCATGAGAGACCAAGGTGTTGCCAGTGAAATTGTTACCAGACACTTATCTGAAGTGTCTGGTAACAATATGTCAACTTTGGAGGGGAGCAAAATTCCTGAGACCGGAATATCTCACCAACTATTTAATCTGGATGAAGACTGTTTCTCCCCACCTCTTGTTAGTGAAAGTGTACCTCAAGAACTGAATGATAAGTGTAAGAGACTGGAGAATGAAAGGAGTGACATATCTATATCAAGAATTTCATCTGGTCCAGGGTCTCTGAGTGAGAGTGGTCCTTCATCTTCTGCTCCAGACACAGAGAGAAGCAGTGGCAGCCTTTTTCCAAAAACTAACAGCACTTATAGCTTTCAAGACACTACAGCCACCACCACCTCATATGAAAGTGCTGAGGAGCCCCAGGATGAACTGGAGAGCCTGTTTTTGACTCCACATCAGGGTCAAGGTAGTCAGGCTGTACTTGGCAAAAACACATCATGTGACCATTTAGATTCCATAATGGTAGGGACAGGGCCAACTGGTACTCAAAAAAGTGCAAGCAGCATGGACCTGTCTGTTGAGAGGGAGGATGAAGAAAGTGGTGGGCGGGACTTTCTGTCTCTAGAAAGGAGAAAAAATAGTCTGTCTATTAGCCACCTGATAATAGACAGTCCCCCTGTTTTTCAGCCTAGACGAAGATCATCCAACTCCCCCTCCACTGTCAAATTCTACCCACCTGTCCACCCTTCCTATATTAAGACCACCACCAGGCAGCTCACCTCTCCAGTTGGCTCCCCCATTACCAGCCCTCACGTGCCTCGGAAAACAGATCCCATCAGTGGATCACTGGAATCCAACAAGGTCCAAGGGTTTAGGAGACGCAAGCAGAGGTCCTGCTCCATAGCTGGGCCGCACAGTGTGTCTGCAGACTGGTCGTCTGAGGTTGATGAGCTTAGTGGAAGACATGATGATGGGGCCAAATTTCCAGATCAGGAGACCACAGAGAAGAGTTACACAGGTGGGACTTACTGGACGCTGGGCTCTAGGAGAGCACACTATGGAAAGCAGACGTCTGCTGCTCCAGTACCCTACCTGGATGTCTTCTCTGGTGAGTGATATATTAAACAACTGAAGTGAGCAATCAAAACAGGTTTCAAAAAAAACTTTAAAAGAAGGTAAAGAGAGAATAATAACCTTCCTCCCAAAACATAGGTGCCAATTTAGTGTAGCTGTCTTCTCTTTTAAATGCCCCATAATCTATTAGCCTCACTGCACTCATTCTGAATGGCATTTCTCAGAGAGACCTGTGTGAAAGTGAGCTACAAGACAATTTGATTAATGTCAGTTTTTTTTTTGTTTGCATCTACAATCGAAATCAATGCCACAAAGGGATGAACTACATGTTTTGCAATACAAAGAAAAAGTAAAGAAAAACATAGAGAAAAACACAGAATATCAATAGCTTGACTTTTTAATTCTATTCGTTTTGTGATTATTCTGCTATCACATTGGCACCAAAGTATCAGGAAGACAATAATGAAGCATTTCATTTAAATATTTTAGCTATTTCATAATTTATTCCTACTGAAGAAGTCTTAATGGATTGGATGCCACTCTTATTTGTTTGGCTCATACCCTATTGGAGATTAGGCCATTACACAACCAATGATTATAGTAATTGCCTAGTAAGTTTAATTACTTACAAATTGCACTTTATATAAGTAAGTACACTAGAAATACTAAGGTTATTATTTTAAAATACAATACTTAATGAAAACCATAATAAAACCATGGGGTGTCTTTGAGATGCGTTGTCTCACTCTAATAAAACAATGCCACTCTGTCCTCCTTACAATTGTGGAGCCTTTCAAGAGCTTAGCTGTTGTCTCCTGTCTTTGCCTGTGCTCGTAAATCAGAGGACCGAATGACAATGCTGCCACCCACCCACGGCTATGTCATCCTCTGATTCCACTGGCTTAGATAAGAAGCACACGCATACACAAACACAGTGGATGTTAAACTCATGTGACAGTTTTTCTGCAAGACAAAAATAAGTCATGATGTTAAATCAATTTCTGTTTGCGTCAGGTGAACTCGCTCCAAACAACAGAAGTACATAATGATCTGAATCCATATAAAATGAACATTTTTGTGCCTGTGTGGCACTTTTTTGTCCCGTTTATGCTCACAAATACTCAGTCTCTAACTAGTTTACCATTGCATGTGATACCAATCAGTGCAGCGAGGTTTACAGGTCACATGTACCCTTAAGAAGGAGTGGAAGCAATGAGAACAAAGATGGGAAACCACAGAAAACTCCAGCTTAATGTTTGAACAAGTGACGACAAATTCCCACTGACGGATAAAAACAAATCTACAGGAGCATGAGTCATGTCATGGCTTTTAATTGATTTGACACTGTCCCCTGTATCACATGGTTAAAAGAAATCACCCTGTTTTAGAATTGGTCTTCCTGCTGTAGCTGTGTGTTGTTTTGGGCTCAACAGTCCTCTGCTGTCACATTGTTGATATCCCCCACCACCCTTCAAACTCCACATAATTCCTGACATTAATTTCATTTTCAAGAAAATATGTCATTCCTTATGAAGTATAGAGATTTTGATACATTTACATTACTACATTTCTCACAGGTCAAACTTACTTTACAAACATGTGGACAGCCTACTTTATTTTCTGTATTTTATTCAAGAAGTAGAATTTATACATTTTGTAACCATGCTGTCGGCTTTAGCCCACCTTTTAGATTTTTTTTTTTCAAGCTATTCCAAAACTTTTCTTTTTCTGCAATTTGATAGTTCTTTGCACTTCACAATCAGCACCACCTCTCTTTTCACCCACGTGTAAATGGTGTGAATAGAGTTTACAAGTGTAGGTGTTTAATTATCACATCCTAAAATGAAAAATGTCTTTTACATTCTTTGGTCAGACTGACATGAGGCGTCTAACTACACAATTTTTCTCAACTTACCAAATATATATATCTAAAAATAAATTTTAAAAATGTGTCTGTTCAAATTCATCTGAGTATCCTCCTCTAGTCTTGAAAACGGAGCTCTGTATCCCTCTGTTTTGTTCTTGCAGTGTCTGTCTTTTCTTTTCTCAGGTCGCGCTCTTTTGGACAGGCTGTGTATGCATCAAGGAGATGGGTCCTCTGAAGAGGATGTGAAAGAACTGTGTCAACGAATGCTTGTCCAGGGTCTCCTGCACCCCTTCAGCAACGGGCGTGCAGAGCTCCTTGGTGACAGTACTGTGTCACCAGTTTTTAATGTAAGACCTTTCTCTTCACTTACACTTAGTACTTATTCTAAAAACTGACCACATATTCAGGGGTAGGTTCATTTTTAAACAAATATATAGTTTAGCTTTAAAACACTTTACACTTTAAAATGCTCGATCCACATTAGAATAGCTCTAAAATAATTAGACTTAGGGTTTTTGTGGGGATGGAAATAACCCCTCAAAGCTGAGCAGCTGTGTTTCATATTTCTAACTTTTCTACTTTCATAACAAACCACTGTCTAAAGATAGTATAACATGGGCTGGGATGCATATAAAAAGCATGTGTTAATGAGATAAATCACTGAGTTACTCTTATGTGCAGTAGAGAGAATGAATGCAGAGTGTGTGTTTCTGTATTTATTGTCTGACTATGATTCATCTGAGAGATTTCATTACCTGAAGAGCAGTGGTGTATGTAGAGAGGGTGACTATGCGGAAGTTGATTTCATGAATCTTTTATTTTCCACTCCAGTAAAGCTTTGCTCAGACCTAATTGCACATGCACATGCCTGCAGATTTTATCACAGCTACTGCTGGAGCCATTTCTGTCATGACTCCTTGCAGCTCCTTGCATGCAAATGAAGCTGTAAAATACGTGTAACTTGATGTACAATTTAAACTGCAACATATTTATCAACACATCAGCTCTTTGAAAATATAGGCCTGTTCAGTGTCTTTATGTTGCTACAAAATGACAATCATAAAATAAGTCATCAAGTCATCCACTGATAAACACTCTGATGACTTAAAAAGAAAAAGATTTTTTAAAACCTCGCTAACTGTGCAGCTTCATGGATATCACATTGAGTTGTTCAGCATAATGTATACAGACGTTTATGCCTCAGTCTTATGTCATGGCAGGGAATGAACTCCACTGGCTTTGCTGAGCCTATAGTGACGCCATGAGGTTGGCTCTTTCAGTGACATTTCCCAACAACCAGTGGATGGATTGCTGTTAAATTTTCTACATATATTCACCCGAGAAGATTAGTTTTAATGGTGTTAATTCTCCTGACTATTGCTATCCAGGTTTTTCACTTCCAGTGTAACATCTTATCATCTATGACATAGCTAGACCATTTTAATTGTAATTTTTTTAAAATTTATATAAAAAATAATTTAATTTGATTTAATAATTTTCAAAATGTATATTTTCAGCTCAAAGCACTGCTGTATGAGCACATAATAACAAAGCAAATATAGTTGATGTAAATTCTTGGTCTTTTATCTGTCTAAAAACAAACAGTCAGGTCAGATTAGCTTTGGATTTTGCGCATTGGAACATCTCCTGCTGATGCACATGTGTGGACATATGTTGTATTTACTCATACGCACATAAAGGTTCAGTAGACTTCCACACAGACAAAAGCAAGATTACTCGCCTGACAGTGCAAGCTCTTAAGCTGATTTATTAACATAAATGCAAATCTCTGGAATACAAACCGTCATCTGTTTGCATGCTGCATGGTCAAAGTAGGCCACAAACAAACAGACCTTTTCTTTTTTTTCTTTTTAATCTTCAAACAATTCACTGTTGCATCAGTATGTTAAAGACACTTGTGGACACATACAAAAGGACAGCATGAGACATCCACGCTAAGGCTTTTCCTTGCATAGCTGGATTATTATTGCCTCTGACATTCATTCAGTCCCACAAATGCACATAAATGTGCGCACACATACATTTGTGCTTGTGTAGACCATCTGCTGACCGTGTTATGTAACAACTCCACGTGCCTTGGGCTCAGGCTGCTCTTCCTGAGCAAAAAGCTCACCATGTCAGGATTGGACAGAATTGTCCCTGCTCTGCATACTTCTTCAGTCTGAGGCTTGGCCTGGAGTCATGTATTATTCAGCCTGACCATGAATAACCTTTGTTGTTGTCATTCAGAGTGCAGATTTCATTTTTTAGGGCTTTCTATCTTAAAGCTAATCTCCTTTTGAAATTAAATCATCAGTCTGTCTTTGCTGTTCTGGAACCTTTTCACTTAAGCCCCTTAATATATCAGACCATTATGTTCTTTCCCTTTTAAAGTTGCTCTTCATCTTGAAATCGGTTATTTACTGCACCGACTTTGTTTTTTTCTTTCTACACCTCTCTTTCCTTTTACTTCATTCTTTCATCTCCTGTTTGCCCTCCACCGTTCTACCTAAATATGGCATTGCATCCAATTTGGTGGAGACAGCAAATGTATCACTTTCGTGTTTCTTGTTCAGCATATGCCCTGAATTATATACTCCAATCAGCCTCATTCATCACAAAAATGGGGCTTGATAATAATGAGTGTCTAAGAACTCTGAACATATGCTGTCCTTTGTGCTTGGCAAAACATTGCTTAGTTGATAAATTTCTGTTGTCGTTGCAAGAGTTTACATCGATCTCGCTCTGCAGGTCAGGTTACCACAGTGACCAGCTAATGCTGACATACAATATTAATATACTGCAGTATAGGGGCACTTCTGAAAAGAGTTGCCATTTATGCTCTCATAAGATTGGCAAAAAAAGTAGAGTGCGATCTATCTGTTCATAGCCTTGCTATTTCACTTATACTAGTATGAAAAATAGAGTTGTGGTAGGTTTTGTAATGATACATACTTGGAATGAGAAAATGGAAAGCACCTGAATGCTCTAAAATATCAAACTTTTTAAAAAAAAAGAAAAGGAAAAAGTGGAATAATTTGTACAACTCCATGTTTGCAAGGCAGAAAGCAAGCACTTGACTCATATTTACCCTCACATTGTTGAGTACCTTTAATCTGAGCCTCTTTAAGAGTTGTTTTAGGGTAGCCATCATTGTGTTGGGTGTTGACTGAAGAGTCATTGAAATAAATACTGTTAAATAATATAAATACAAATGTATTTAATTTCAGTAGCCTCCAGCTGCTCTTTGTCTAAAGTGATTAAATATATTTATTGAGCATGCCTTGTTGTACATTTAGAGGATTAAGCATTTTCACCATGACCAGAAACCATATTGGAACAGTAAGAGAGTCAATTTTAGCTTAGTGTTTTTATTTGCCATGGAGACTGACAAACTACCGGCAGCTGTGACTAGACTGAGAGCTTTTTTGACATTTAACAGGAATATTAAGAAACATGTTTCTTAGATGTTCAACAGTAGTGCTTTTAATACTTCTGTGTTTACTGAACTTTTTATCTTTTACCTTACTGACCTTGTGTCTGATATTATAAACTTTCTGGTTTTATAACTTGTGTTCAGGAAGAGCAGCTGTACACCTGGGCATCTGTAGGCTTGCCAGTGTCTCCTTACCTTTGGGAACTCTATGGAGGGGCAACCACAGGCAGGGTACAGAGCTTGAGATCCTCTTTCCATCAATCATCAGCCAAAACACCAGGTGCTCCACACGTTCAGGTTGGTTAAGTCTTCTCTTTAGTGTTAAATATCTGACAACTGTTTTTCATCCTGCCTGCACAGAAAGGAAAGTGTATGCTCTGAAAACATAAACTTAACATCTTTATTAGATTAAATTCAAATGTCTCCTCTTTACAAAGTCAAAGTTTGTTTCTTGCTGACTGATATATTCACTGCATATGCGTGTGTCTGAAAGGTAACATTTACCCAATATAGCCTTTTTAAAAATTGTCATTGTAATATCATTCATGATTATAAACCAAACGCACACAAAAGACTTGAAAATGGTGCACACAGTTGAGTAAAAATCTAGAAGAAACTAAGCTTGATTATAATATTTTGCTGTTCCTTCTTGAATTTCTATTTTCTGTATTTAGCACCTTTGGTACAAAAACATATATACAGGATGTGTTAAACTGCTTTAAAAATGAACAATGGAAAAATTGAATTTTAGTGTGCAAAACAGCAAAGAAATGAATACCGAGGGATAGAAACCCGTTGACAAACATGGAAAGATATAATTACTGAACTTTGTATCTGATACATATATATTTGACCTGTATTTTAAATCTGTAATATTATTACCCACATGAATTTAGCTGTGAGTTTTTCCTTGGCCACCAGAGGTCAGGCTTGTGTTGAAAGTACTGTGAAACAAACACACGAATCCTCCCCGTTTCCTAGAAAAGTAAAAAATAAATAAATAAATAGAGGACCATACTGTCTAAATATTCTCCTCGCAATTCAACAAGGCGACTACAACTGGAGAATGTGTACTAGCAGACAAAACCCTCCTCATGTGAGGCCTACTGAGACTCACTGTCTCTGGGGTCAAATCTCTGGTATCCCCTCATCCCTATTCTAACCAATGTGGAGCCAGAGGTCTGACAGAGTCTAGACATGAGGGACTTGGTTGACCCTTCTTAACCTCATAATTCTGTCACTAAGCTGCCTGAGTTGTGACACTTTTTCCCCCCTCACTGTTTATGTAATTGAATGATAATGTGCCTAAGATTTAATAATATATTAATAATATATTATATTTATGCAATTTATTTATGTATGTGTTTATTTGGTTCACTGACAGACAGAATGCAGCAAGTTGAAGTCAGGTCAGTCATCCTCTGAGGATGAAAGCAGTCTCATCCCACTGCTGGAGAGGACCATTGATGACCTGCGGATTAAGATAGCTGTGTTGCAAGGCCAGCAGGCCTCCCTGGCAAAGGGCATCAGGGATAATATGGGAGTTCTGGGCAATGGTCACCACAAGGCCTCACAGATAAAAGAAGGACGATTGGGGAAGATGAGCCAGGAGGTGTCTACCCAGACGTCGCCTGTGGAAGAGGGATTTAAGTTCGATGTGCCTTTGAATGGGCGGTCTAGCAGCACGCCGTCCTCCATTTCACCCTCCATCGTCAAATCTTCAGAAGGCTTTGCCTGCACTTGCCAGCAGAGGCAGCAGAGCAGCATCCAGTCAGGTCTTCCTCCCCCTACAGTCTCTGGGGTTATGTCCCAACCACCACCACCACCACCTTTACCAGGGGGTTCCACTGCACCTCCACCGCCACCTCCACCACCACCCCCACCCTTACCCGGGCTTGGACCTTGTTTCCCACCCCCACCACCACCGCCCCTTCCATCAGGTACCGGAGCTCCACCACCTCCTCCACCCCTGCCTGGTTTCGGACCTCCACCCCCACCACCTCCTCCACCACCAGGCATGGGCCCTCCCCCACCACCCCCTCCTCCAGGAATGGGCCCCCCTCCTCCACCCCCACCTCCTGGCTTTGGGCCCCCACCACCACCAGGCCCCATGCCTTCCATGATGATCCAGGAAGCTGACCCTGCCAAGGCTATGATAGAACCCCCCAAGCCAATGAAGCCACTCTACTGGACCCGCATACAGCTGCATGCTAAAAAGTAAGGATATGCTGTAGAAAGTGAAGATAGATATGGATCATTTGCACAAAGGTATTCTCTGAACAGTAGAGATTTGAGAGGAAGCTTGTCCACTTAAGATAAAGATCGACCACATGCTGTGACTGCAATAGACATGCTAGCTTTGTGGAAAATGAAAGTGATGCAAGCCAGGCATTGTGGTCAGCAGAGAAATGACTTGAACCAGGTTTTCTTTCCTTATTAAGGCTTGGAAAACTGTGGTGGAACAAACCTCTAGAAATGGAGAGCTTGCTTTACGAGCAAGTGAGGAACTCAACCCAGAATTATAAATGCCATTTGGTGGCTAATGATTTTGGCAGTAATTGATTTTGGATTTTTATTCTCCAAAAAATAACAAATTAGTACTTGTAGAACTGCAGAGGGCAAAAACATGCCTTTAAAAAAACACAAATTACACTATGAAGTTCTACTTTGCTGTCAATCAAAAAAATGGCTCTCCTACTTACACTGTAAATAATTCCTCCCCCTCCATCTTTAGACATACTGTCTCACTGGTGTGGGAGAAAATTGAGGAACCAACTGTGGATTTTGAAGAATTTGTGGAGCTATTTTCCAAAAGCACTGTCAAGGAGAAGAAGAAGCCAATTTCAGACACAATCAGCAAGTCAAAGGCCAAGCAGGTATGATATGTTGTGTTACGCTCATGTGTTTGCATATATACTGATATATTTGCTTAGGCAAGTGTGTGTGTATTTGTATATTTATGCATGCATGTTTTTGCTTCTCCCCCTTGGGGTCACTACGTTTGGCTTTCTTCAGGGCTTTCCTGTTCGCACTTTTACTCCAGTGATGGCTGTTCCTTTCCATTTCTCATCACTGTTGTCTCCCATTTACTTTGAGTGACAGAAGGAAATGCTACAGCCAGACAGTTATTATGTGGTGTGAGCTCTGGCTCCCACCCGACTCCCCTTGTGACCATCCAGTGGCATCAAGCCAATGTCTCGCGTGCGGTGAGGAAACCTCACGACGGTGATGACTGCTCGGAGAGAGAGGGAGTGGGAAGGGGAGAGGGGAAAACGGGAGGGAGTGAGAAGCGTGGGAGTTGTATTTCATGATGTGGTTCCTCCCATTGTGCTTTCTGTATGACTGAGTTTAATAGTCAGACTGTTTCCCTCCCAAGTGTCCTTTATGTCACTCCATCAATCAGCAAGGCAAACATTTGATCTACAATTTAAGGCTCTTTTGGTTAAGAGTTTTATGATAATGTACTATTCAGCTAAATTATGTATCTAAAACACAAATAATGTTGCACAGGGGAAGGAAGTTTCACCCCTCTAATTGAGGCCCTGTAGAATCACCAGGCAGTTTCTGCTGAAATGATATGTTGGTCCCAAGCATAGACACTGGCGGGAAATATTCTTAAGTTATGGGAAGGGATCAATTGGAATTTGACACCAAAATCTAAACCTTTCTTCCAAAAGGTTTCTAGTTGATTGAAAGTACAACTAGAACAAATGTTGAACAGCTTTACTCTTAACAAAAAGCTTCTTCTTCTACGGTTTATATTTCCCCATCTTGGTTTTCATCATTTCAAATTTGAATCTTCAAAGTCCATAGGAAGTACTGTCTAACTGTAGAGTACTCCATAATTACACAGCTATAGATTTTATATTTACATCAAAAGTGTGTCTGTCTCACAGAAGTAGTCATGAATGTTGCTGTAGCAGAATAAATGTGAACTTTCACGCTAAAGTACTGTATGGTGTAGCTTAGATCCAGCAGAGCAACGGTCTCGCAACTGAAGAAGTCAGTTGGATGACTTCTTCGTTTCTCTCACTCAAAACGCTGTGTGCAGATGAACAGAATCGACCTTTTGGGAGCACTGATTAATGGTGAGACTTCTTTGACAGCCTTGTATGAATGGGATCTAACTTGGAAAGAGCAGTTATTACAGGTGTTGTGTGTAATGATACATCTGTAGGACACCTGTTAATATTTTTTCCTTGAATAGTTAAAATTTTAGTTATAAATAAGTCCAGCAAGTCATTGCTAGATGTACTATTACTGTTACTGTAGCATTACTGCGACACTCTAATTGACACCGCTCTGGATATGTTTATTACCACATTATGAAATATCTCTTCTTCTTTTTTCCCTAATTGTGACGGGAAACAAACTTACTTAGGTGTGTGTCGAATTCCCCCAATCATCTCTGTGGATGATCTCCAACACAGCCATGGTGATTCAGCAACAGCAAAAACATAGAACTGTAACTGAACCAAAATTGCAGTTAACCTTCAACATATTACATCTCCTACTGGTTCAGTTATTTGCATCCCCCTGTGTGCTGTGAGTGCAACTATTTTGCTGATGAGAGGGGACAAGCATCCTCCTCAGGACTACCACTAGAGAGCAGCTTTGACGTCAGTACTCCTCTGCTGGCATAAGTATTACAGTAGATGGGAAGATTTACTGCTATTACACAGTGTCAACTGTTAACCTTTGTACCTGCAGAGAGGTTTCAGAGGGAGCAGCCTTGCTTCTGACCTTTTTATATGATGTACTAGAGATATGGAGTGAAAGTTATGAATATGAATTATAGTATGTGGTTTACATCTGTTTAAGACTGAAGATGATGAACTGCATGTTTCCAATGCTCTGTTTTTCATCTTAAGAGATTTGAAGTCTAGGGTAGAGAAAATAAAAATATATATAAATTATTGATATATGACATTTATGAAAAAAAGTGTTTATCTTATTAACATTTAACAACCAAAACTATTTTGTTTTGTTAACAAGAGATCAACTCCAAGATTTTTATTTTTTATTTAAAAAAGTTAAACGTCGTTAGAAATGAAAATGAACAATATTTAAAAAATTGAAACCTATCTTTATTCAAACATTATGATACACGCTGAGGCGTTTATGCTTCTGTAAGTTAACTTTTAGAGCAGCATTACCTTCCAAACAACTGGTATGTGACCCTACCCCGACCTCTATTTTGTTCAGTATCATAGATACTTCTATGGGCATCTTTTCTCATTTCTCACACACTAAGCTCTGGGACACACACACACACACACACACACACTTCACCCTCATAAATCTCCACTGGCTCCTGGTCAAGTCACGCATTACTTATAAGATCCATCTTCTCACTTACAAATCCCTCAACTCTTTGGCCCCTCAGTACCTGTTTGACCTGCTGCAACAATACACACGGTCTCTAATGCTACGGTCCTCAGCCACGGGTCCACTTTCTGTACCCCACATCAACCTAGGTACATTTGGGAAAAGAGGCTTCACTTTGGCAGCCCTCATCCTCTTTAACTTTCTCCAATCTGAGCTTCACAATGCCCCATCACTGGAGTCTTTTAAGAATTTATCAAAACTCACTTCTTTAACAAAGCCCTCAACCTGTAGCCTTTTGTCTATTTTTATACTTATTTGCATCCTAGGGTTTCTTGAAAGGGACTATACAAAGTTGATATTATTGTTATTATTATTATCATTTATATTTGAGAACGATGAGAAGTTTAAAAGCAACATTTTCCATTATTTCTTTGAGGAAAGAATTGGGCTGAAGTTACTGTATGTTCTCAGTGCTGATTTTTAAAAATACATATTTATTTTTTTGTTTTATTTTATTTATTTATTTTTTTGTTGGTCACCAGAAAATCTTGAGCTTTGAGTATCAAGATTACTTTTTTAATTAATATAATAATTGTAAGATAGGAAATTGCCAATGGCAGAGGATGTGGTCACCAAGCTCCCTTCTAATAAATATAAAAAATGGTGATGTAGACACACTAATCCAGCACCATCATAGCTCTTTTATCTGACTGTATTGTTTGAGCTGCTAAATCAGTAGCCAAACTAATAACACTAGCATTCATCTGTCTTGTTTACTTCACACATCATTGCTTTCCTTATTTTAGCAATAGAAATTGTGGTGTTTCCTTTATTATTTTTCATTAAAAGTACCAAACTTGAGAGCTTTATTCATAACACATTTTCAGCTCTAAGCACACCGTGACTGTTGTATGAGAAGTTAATTAAATGGTACATTCTTTTTACATGAATTTAATCTTTGATCACAGAAACAAAACTGGGTACGCCTATGAATTCCAATTGGGTTTATTGCATGAAAATGATGATAAAACAACAGAACACCAGAGCTTTCTTTATTTTGTATACTTGGGGTGTGTGCATCTGCATACTTGCATCAATAGTCCTTGATGCAAGTATGCAGAATTGCCAGAGGGGTTCAAGTTGTAAGATGGAGTAGGTTAGCAGAAGATCAGCGAGCAAATTAATGTCGGTCAAAACACAGGTGCAACACTAATCAGAGCCGCCACAATGCTCTGATTGCTTCTTACATGGGTTATTAATGATATCAGAGTCTGAGGACTCTGATTAGATGTTGAAAGCATCATATTTAATATATTTCAGTTTATTAAGTATACCTAATATACCAAATATACCTGAGGCTCTGTTGTATATTTCAGCAAATAAGGCTTTACTGATGACTTATTCACTGCAATGACGCTGTTACCTTACACTAAAATATCACAGACTTACTGTGAAAGTCACTCAGCATCATATCTCGATCGGCATGTTTCTCAAAGCTGTGGTTGGGCTGGGGAACACAGACAGTTGGGGCTTGGTGATATAACTTCCTGTGTGTTTAAGAGGTCTGTGGTCTGTGTGATCTGGTTTAGATGGAAGCATTCTGTCTGGATCACAGTAGGCTACGGGTTTCCTGTCCTGTCCCTTCACCACTTTGCAACCCAGTGCACACTTCTGCTTACTCAGGAGAGCTGTGGCTTATAATGGTCCCCTTGGATGCAGTTTTTATGCGTAATAACAACACTGGCTTGATATTTAACTCCTGACTGTTTGTCGGAGGCAGACTATTATTAAACTGTTAACGTTTGCAGCTTTTTGAGCAGTTTTAATCTCCATGGCATTGTGCAGATAATACTTTCTAAACTTTACCTTTTAGCCCCCTTTAAAAAATGTGTAATTTAAACAAAAAGTCAGTTTTCTGTTTCATCAGTTGCACTACTTGAGTCAGAATAATAAGCCTTTTGTGTTTTTACTGATCTGTAAGGTTTTGATTGTGTAACTGGATGACAGTGTATGTGGAGACTTGAAAAAAATCTGTCAACACAATGTAACTCCATAGCTATAATTTTCCCAGTGTGTGCTGATCAATAATGATGAAGTTTTCCTCCCACAGAAGGAAAATGATAGAGAACAGATTATTTCTATTCAAATATTGTCTTTGTAATTCAAAAGCCCTTTATTAGCATATAGTTTTAACAAATAATATATATTTATACAATATACATGAACTGTGCACGTCTCTCACTGTCCCTCAGGTTGACATGTTAATATTATAGACAGCAAGATTTACCTTCTAGTGTTTTTGAAAGGTCGTTAATCATCTTCAAGCCTAATTATGGCGTTTAGCTCATTTCAAATTGACCCCTATGGTTAAATTAAAATCTACATATTACATTGCAGGAGGATCTTTCTCTCCACCTCACCTGTCAAACAGAAACCACCGTTCTGTTATGTTCTGTTTGTGATGAAGTTTATGGTTAATGAGCCTGTACGATGTTAAGATTTTTTTTTTCTCTTCATGTCATTATCTTCTAGGTGGTGAAGCTCTTAAGCAACAAGCGTTCACAGGCTGTAGGTATCCTCATGTCTAGCATTCATCTTGATATGAAGGACATAGAGAATGGTAAGTCTTGTCACATGTTCATGACGAGTGCTTTAGCTGGTATAGAGGTGTAGCACTTTTGTTATCATCTGTCACAAAGTTTCTTCAGATGGCAAAACTGTGAAAGCAATTTATTGTGTCTCAACAATGAAGAATATGTAGCAGTTTCTGAAAAGGTGGTACTGCTACCATTTTCCAAAACATACACAGTTGCACATTCGGTGTGCCGCTGTTTTGCGCATATGAAGGCATGCTATTGATCTTTTTAATAGCCATGTTCTGTTTTACTCCAGGGATGGGAAATCTCATTCATTTGCCTGTCATTCAGTCATTTAATTCACAACTTAATTTTAGCTGACACTTTTTAAATTAGCTGGTATCTTGTGCAGGTTAATTCCACGGATTTTGGTGATGTCTTGACTTTTGCTGTAGTTCTAGTTTTAACGTCTGTGATTTTGGGTGACATGGCTAAACAACTTTTATTAAATTTGATACATTCACTACACAGTAAGTACTGGGTCGGACACTCTTTTGCTTTCAGGACTGCCTTAATTCTTTGTGGCATAGATTCAACTAGGTGCTGGAAACACTCCTTAGAGATTTTGGTCCATTTTGATAAGATGGCACTACACAATGATGTGACTCTCTCGTTCCACAACATCCCAGAAGTACTCTATTGGATTCAAAGCTGGTTACTCAGGATGCTATTTAAGTACAGCGAGATCGCTTTTATGTTCAAGAAGCCATTTTTAGGTGATTTGAGCGTTAGAGCACATTATCTTGATGAAAGTAACCAGGAGAAGGTGGGTACACTATGGTCATAAAGGAGTGGACATGCTTAGCAACAAAGTAGGTTGTAGCATTTAAATCATGTGCACTGGGTACTAAGAGGCCCCGTGTGTCTGAAGAAAACATCCTCCAGAGCATTACACCACCAATAACAAGCTGAATTGTTAACACAAGGCAGGATGGATCCATGTTTTCACGTTTTTTTTTTTATGACAAATTTTGACCATACTCATCACGAGACGATCTTTTTTTTTTGCCCAATTTTGGTGAGCCTATGCAAAATGTAGGTTCGGTTTCCTGTTCTTAGCTGAAACCCAGTGTGGTTTCTGGTTCTGTAGTCCATCTGCTTCAAGGTTCAGCATGGTCAGAATGTAGAGATCCTTTTGCCTCCTGATACTAGTATCTAGCATACTAGTATCTTCTAGGTAACTGAGACTTGACACAACTTCATAATTCCCTGCAATTTTACAGATGGTTGTACGTGTAGAATCCCAGTATATCAGCAATTTCTGAAATACTAAGACCACTCCATCTGGTAACAACAATGATACCATATTAAATCACCTTTCTTCCCAATTCTGATGCGTGATTTATACTTTAGCGAGCTATCTTGACCACGCCTACATGTATAAATGCACATGAGTTGCTGCCATGTGTTTGGCTCATTAGACAACTACATTAACGAGCAGTTGTAAAAGTTGCCAGTGAAACATTTTTGAACCTCATTCTTCTGACAACATCAAACCAGAATTATAAAACATCCACTACTTCTGATCATGACCAGATACTTTTATAACCCATCAGGTTGTGTCTTTGTGTTAATTGGCAAATGTTAGTATGGTAAGGATCTAGTCAACATGCTATTTGTCTCTGTTTTTATTATACAGCACATTAAAAAAAACAAAAACAAAAAAAACAACAGGAGCGTACCCCATGTAATTTCTAGTGAAAACAGATTAATGAATGAAAGTAAAATACTGCATAGCATATAACTTTTGTTTTTACATAAAAACTACTGTGGGGGTTAAACACCTGTTAAGAAATTGTTTAAAGAAACAAGATTAAAAAGATAAACAGACAGCACAGTCAAATAAAAGTAATAAAATCAAAGTAAAAATAATAAGAAATGTGGTAAACTTTTCACCTGCTGAACATTATTGTGTTTGTAGTGTTGTAAATACTACTTGCTGATATTGGCTTTGAGCTTAAAACACCACTGTGCCTGAGAGCAGCTAGAGATGCTTTTATTTATGTGCCACGAGGATGGTTCCTTCCTCTGTTTGAAGGTAGTACACAGTCATCCCCAGGTGTGTTGGGAAGATGCTAACTTCCAAACAAAAGTGAATTTCTATCAAAAGCGTACAAAAGCAGCATTTTGATACCATATCATCTCTAAAAAAGAAATAATTCTGCACACTGAACATAAGCAAACCCCATTGTATAGATCTTTTCTCTTTTTTAGTCTGCCGTGAAGTTAGAATGTTATTGGATTTGTTTTTACCAAAGCTATTCCAGTGTTTGGTGTTATCACAAGTTATACTGCTGAAAGGCATCTCTCTTCTCGTCTGTTTCTTTTCTCTTTCATTTTGCATATTCTCTCCCCATCTAACATGCACATCGTGTTTCACAGAGACACTCTGTCGGATGAGTTGTCACCATCTTGTCTAAGCGGCTTTGTTAAAGTGAAGTCATTTTGGAGATGATGATGGCTACAGATGGTCTTCCTGTTTTAGTTACTCTCTGATTGCTCTCCAGTCTTTGCTCATCTGTGTCTAAACACTTCTCGTCATCTCCCCATCCTATTCAATCTTCTCTCAGTAAAGCATTTACGTTAGCTTCAAACCTTAACTCCTCACGCACAAGACATATGGTTAGGTTACATCAAAATAAATGTGTGCCACACAAACCAGCAATGTAGCAATAAACAGTTGCTCTCTGGGAGCGTTTTATCTGCAGCATCTTTAAAGGATCTGGTGGAACTAAATGTTGTTCTGCATTTCTGGTCTCAATGTCAGTCTTTGGTGCATCCATTTTAGGTAAGATTGGAAGGGCAAGAGAGGGCCACGCTCATCAGTACTATTTATCTCCTATGTTAGGACAGTTTTGCACTACTACATAATTAGCACTGATTGGAAACTTCACTATGTCACTAAGAGATCAGAGAAAGGACATCTCAGTGATTTGGTGGACTGCTTTCAAGTATTATCTACTTGTTCTGACATAACAGTGGGCCATCTTCTGTGCAGAAAGAAAATAATCCTGAATGTGTTTTTGAGCATATATATGTGCTGTGTTACACAATGTGTTTGACTGATTTTTAGGTCTGAATAATTATAATAATTATAGCTTTAAAATACTCAATTTCCCTTAAATAACAAACCCCCAAAGTCTGTATAATAACTATGCTAATGTTTTCCCATTCCGGACATGATCTAATGTTCCCTTGTGCTATTAGAGGTTTCAGATAATTAAAGAATCAAAGGACGATTTGTTTACCAAAGAGAGATTAATTTGCCCAAACTTTGTAATTGTTCCTGTCAGTGTAGTGAATTAGTTTCGTTTCCTGTTGGTTTCGTGATTTTGGTCAATGACTAGCAAAGTCTTTGTAAATCTGAGATCTCTGACATGAAGAAAAACAACTTCTGAGTCATTGATTTAGATTGTGTCAGTTTTATGACGGCGCAATTGCTCAGTGAGAAGTCGAGACATTTTTTTTGTTTTTTCCTCACAGCTGTTGTTGTTTGCTTTCAGACTTGGCCCACACTCTGCATTTTTCATAGGACACTTCCGTGCACTGTCGGCGTTCCTGAGAAGTTTTAGACCACCAGCCTCCGTCAGAGATGGCGGTTACCGGCGCCATGTTTGGGTCAAATGTGATAGTCAGGATAGACCTGGGCAGATGGGTCTGGATTTCAGTTAGAAGAGGTCCTGTGTCACCGTGACGATATGGTTTTCTCCTAAAAAAAACAACAAAAAAAAACCAGTCTCCAGTCAAATAAGCCAGCCAGACTGGTTTGGATAGTAATGAAAACCAAATGGTTAAAAGAAATGAGAAACGGAAAAGGGCAGTTTCTTTGTGGCGGGTTTGGAAGAAACAGTGTGTGAAGAGGTCAGGAAGTGACAGCGAAGAACTAAAAAAAAAAAAAAGGAGTTGATTTGCACTTGTAGAAGAAGAGTGACGAGATTAAAAAGGCGACAGAACTGCCTACAGAGAGAAAGTGATATCAGACTATTTCCACATGCTTGACCATCCTTTAGTTTTATATTTGTTATCATTTTCTTTGATCTTATTTTTCAGCTGTGCTGTAAAAGCCTTAAAACATCCTTCTGTATTCATTATCTAAGCAAACTCTGATTCAAAGTTGCTTTAGCCTCTGTGACCCTAGCCTTCACCCCTGTACCTCAGCAGCAATCAACAGATCAAAATATTGTGAGTGATTTTGGGCCCCTGCAGCATGGTGAAATACACATATAGGTGTCAGGCACTGCACTGGGTGATTGTGCGTACAGCAACACCTCAGCCTCAACACCACAGACCCCCGGGCTCTGTTTGTCTTTAAACATTTACTTTCAAAGGATTAATGCTCGAGGGCGCCAGGTCCTCGCGCCGAGACAAAAAGGCGACACCAGGAATTCAAACACAGGAGTTCAAACACAGATCTTTGTACCTTTGACAGGTTTCTAAGACCTCCATATTTATGTTTTAGTTTATGGCTCCTTGCATGCTATCGTCATGAGAACTGATAACTGTGCAGCTTAAAGCACACGACGTGTCACTTTTTGTGGGCATGGGATCATTTTTGTCCTTGTTTCATGGCACCTTCAGCCCCGGCAGGAAATGGTATTCTACCTTTGTTTGTAGTTGTTGTTTCAAAAAAAGAACCACTGTATAAACTAGAGATTATGAAATTGTCGGTCTGTTTGTGTTGGTTTGATTTCTGACTTGTTAATGGTGTTCATTCAAGGTAAAAGAATGTCATGACATGCTTTAGTGTTAACATTAACATTAACCATGTCACCCTCTCTTTCCATCCACAGCCGTTCTAAATATGGACAATACTGTTGTTGATCTGGAGACTCTGCAAGCCCTCTATGAAAATGTGAGTATAACAACAAAGACTTTGGAATCAAAGCTATTTTATATGGTCACAAAAATAATATAATAACATTTTTCTTTGCAAATGTTTTTACTTTAAAGGAAGGATGATAAAGGATCATGCGGACAGTGGTTTTCAATGAGTCAATAGACTAGTGAAAAGGCAATTTCCCAAGCTGAAATACATTTGGGAACTTTCCTGCCAATCCAGAATCGCATAAATACACAATGCTGAGCAACCAGCCCAGGAAAATTATACAAAGCAACTCCACCGACAGCTCAGGCTGATGTTGATGGCAGCATTCGCACAGGGAAAACCTTGATCTTTTTTCTTTTCCTGTGTGGTTTGCAGTAAAAGTATGAGTTTGGAACAGCTTGCTAGTGACAAATAGAATGATTTATTGTTGCACATTTCATGCCATATATCAATAACAAGCAATCATTCCATTATAGAATGAAACCCAAGAAGACTCATAAAGCAGTGATATCAACAAAATGGCAAAAAAGAAATCATCACATGTTAGTGTTGTTTTATTTTTCACTTGACTGAGGGTAAACCACAAAACACCAAATGTCATTCATCAAAATATATCTTTCCAACATTATCAAAGGCTGAACTTTTGTTTAAATTGTAGGGGTGAAAAAAATCTGTAATTACATTATTGTGTAGCAACATTTCAGAGATGCCACTTTACTGCAAACGTATTTCTCTATCTAAGTCTTATTCCATGTTCCACTTGAAAGGGGTGAACTGAGGAAATGTGCATTAGATACTAAAACAAACAGGCAAGCCACAAACTGTACTGGTATGTGTGCTGTTTGGCGACAGCGTCAGTCATGTGTAGGTCTGTCTGCTGCCCTGGAAGGGAACCAAAGCTTTTACGTAGTAAACATGTTTTCTACACTCTGGATCTGATTGACTCAACTTTTGTAATGCCCATGTGCAAAGGAAATGATAGTTGAGAAACTCCAGGATTTGTGTCAGAGCTTCGATGTGGTTTTAAAAAAGAGCCGACTACAGTGAGCTTTGCCAAGGTAAATCATATAATATTAGCAAAGAATTACAGAACTGTCATCAGTACTTCCCAATATGTCTCCATTTTGGCTGTGAAGACTTCCATTTATAGAGTAAATACATATTCATCAAGCTCGTCTGATAGGAAATCTCCCCAGCCCCAGTAGAAATGGTTCAGGGACCATTCGAAGTCGGGTCAGTAAATAATAGAACATGAAAATGAGTATGTTTTCCACATTTCAACTGTGATACATTTTTAAGATGCTGTGAAATTCCTGTGAATTAGTTTTTGGCACAACTACACAGGAGAGGCCTAGACCTTTGGCTGCCAGAGGCATATTAATAATGTTGATCATGGGAATGAGACTGTGGCTTGAGACAAGCTGTAGTTATGAACCAATGTGTCATAACTCAGGATCAAAAGTCTTCTAACCTCTCCAGTCACCCCAAGACTTCAAGCCCTCTCCCTCTGCTTCTCCCCCTTATGGCCTAAGGCTATGTTATTGAGTCGCAGAGCCAAATTGTTTCTCTTTTGTATTGCGAGACTCCATCCTGTCTGTGGGTCTCCAGCCCCCTAAACCACAGTTGGCAGCACAGTCAGCCTGTCTTTAGGAATGTGAGGGGCTTCTAATGGTTACACCCTCACTCACTGTGCTAGGAGCTAGATCAGCCTTCTCTGCCTCACTCTCTGTTTCTCTCACCCACACAAACATGCTCACAAACAAACATGTTGACCCACACAAATTTGCACGTAGTGTACAGTATGAGGATAAAGACAGATGCACACAGAGTCGCTTAGTCTATGAGCTCCAGATTATAGCCACTCCTGTTCTTTGAACAAAAAGCCAGTGTCATTAAAGGGGTCACAGTGATAGCGGGACACTGCTCCCTACCCTCTAATATCAAGCCATAATCTGGCCCCAGACTAGTTGTCTCAAGTTCAGACTTCTTTCAGCTGGTAGTAGATAACAGAGAGGTCAGTGAGTCAGACTCTCCTAAACTTTTAAACAAGATATGATCACCTCAAACCCCATTTTGCATGGTATTGCTCTGAAAAAAGACTAGATATAGTTTACATATCATTACACAATGTAACTTGTCATTTGGGGTCGATTATTTGGCAGCTCAAGGTACAAAGTATCTCATAAATGTAGTTTCATTGAAAATTGAGTGACATAAATAGTGATTAAGGCCTGTCTGGCTCCGTTTAGCCCTGTACTAGAAACTTGCGTAATGAATACCATTTGGTTACCTCTAGTATTCTGGCATCACAAATATCATCCTACTGTACTTTGCATTTGATATTCCACATGGGACTGTATTTCTCATGCTAACCACCACCACAACATGCCCTAGCAATTCAAAGATCACACGCTAATGCCTACTTGTCCCCAATTACACCAAACACTGCTGGGCTCCACTGCTGCCCTTTGAAAAGGATCTGCTTTGTGTTAAATATATTTACACTTGAAAACATCTCGAGAGAAGGCGAAGGAGAGCTTGCCCTCACCGACAGAAGGCAGCGGTGTGCAGAATACTAATCTGGCCCTTCGTGCGTTTGATGCTGGTGTTTGATGTTTTCCAAGGATCCATGCCGAGGCCAAACCCCAGAGTAGGATGGAGAGAAACAGAGGATGAGGCCAGATTGCTGAGACTCAGACTTTGGGGGTCTAAGGGCTCTGGAGGGACTAAGAGAGAGTTTACATTTTCTTCCTGGAGATGGTTTTATTGTTTTGCCCCTCTGCGTCAGACACATTAAGATCTATTGTCTTTGCCTCTTGTGAAACGAAGGGGCATTTTTGGCTTGCTTTTTTTAAACCACCTTGTATAAAACTGTGGTCCAGAGCCTGGCAGCAGGATAATAGTCAGGAATGTAGTCTGGCTGAAGTCAATACTTTTAGCATTTGTGAAACCTATACTGTATAGGCTGGCATATGGTTGAGTTTATGTACAAAACATAATTTGAGAATTCTTTTACACTTGAGATAAAGCTTCCAGACATCAAAAGGGAAGAAAATTAGGGAGGGTAGGGGTTTGTGAATGGCCTAAGACACGCAAATAAAGACTTCAATCCAACTGAAATGTTGCAGGGTTTGAAGTGCAAGAAAACCTCTAAACACCTTGCAACAAATTTTTGCATGGATGAGCATTCAAAAGTTTCAGTGAGCTGATATCAAATGGGGGGGGGGGAATGAAAAAACACCAGTACAATTATTTTTGCAAAACTACGTCTAAGAAGCATCTATTGATATTTTTTGTTCAAAAATCATTCAACATTCACATGCTGTTTTGGGAACATGTCCAAGTACAACTCCTTCTAATGTGTATTTTTTCAGCTATTACAAAAAGGCTCACTATTTCCAAGGGATGGACTTTAATTTGAATGTATGTTTTCACCACTTTGGAGTGCTGGGTGTGACTCAGAGGATAAAAGTGATTCAAGTAATATCCAAACAAATTCTTTTATAAAGCACTTAATACTGTTTCCTGTGCTGTCAGTGTCCCACCCATTTCTCTTACAGATGTGGTTTTTCACAGATTTTCTTCTTTAGTATTTTTCTTTAAATTTTGGTTTCCTGACTGTGACACCGCTACCCTTGATCCTTACCAAAATAAAGGAAATACATACACAGATATGTTTCAGCAATATCCATGCATGTTCTCTTGTAATCAAGCTGTGCAAAAGTCTTGAGTCGACCCTCATTTGTTTATATTTTCCTTCCAGTGAGCCACTTTAAAAAACAAAAAACAAAAAAAAAACTAACGGCTTAGACAAAAACTAATTGTTCTCACTTCTTTAGTTGAATCTACAGTAATGCCAATGTTAACACAGTTTGAAACCAGCATTTCTAAAAATTTTCTACCAACAACTTGATTCACAAAGTAGTATTAGCTTACAAATTTAAAAGTTCAGGACACAAAAGTGGCAGGTCTAAAGAAACAGGCCTGAAAAAAAAACCTCTAGAGCAGATAAACTTCATCTGAAAGTCATCTAATTAAGAAACAGTCAAAATAAATATTCGCCAAAGACTTGACACAGGATCTGAGAAACTGATCTGGAACTTCAGTTGATGCATCTACTTTTCTGAAGCCTCATCAGAAATGGTCTCAGTCTGGTTGTCAAGAAGCCATTCTTAGGAAAGAGAAACAGGGAGAAAAGGCTAAGGTATGCAAACTGCACAAGAACTGACAACAGGTCTCATGGAGTGATGAATCAAAATTGAAAATTTTAGTTAAAATCATCAAAATGTTTGAATAAGGTCAGGAGAGTACAACACTGAAGAAAACATGGTGCTGTCATGGTTTAGGGCTGCATTACAGCCAGCACTGTTGAAGATCTTGTCAAAATTTATGAAATTATGAACACTGATAATTACCCTCAGATTTTGATCCATCATACAATGCCATCTGGAAAGCATGTGATTGACAACAGCTTCAATTTTCAGCAATGACAATGATCCTAAAGATGGTGCCAGTGCATTTTCCTGTCACAGTATCAAGAAATGAGTGATGACTCGAGGCTTTTGTAGAGGCACTTTGTGTTTTGGCTAGCTTAGTTTAGGTTTAAGTAAAATAAAATAACCTTTTGTCAGCGTCATAACTGTAACGGTTACAGTTATGACGCTGAAATAGAAATTGGTTACAGTGTAACCAATTTCTATTTCAACTTAATGTGTACTTTCTTTTGACAGAGAGCTCAAGATGATGAGATGGACAGCATTAAAAAGCACATTAAATCTGCCAAAGGCAAGGAAGATGCCAAACCACTAGACAAGCCAGAACAGTAAGAACTAAATACACCCTCTAAACTAAGTCTGTTCAATGTCTTGCTATTAAATATATGGTTTAAGTTGACTGGTCTTGTCCTTCGTCAGGTTTCTGTTCCAGCTATCACAAATCTCCAATTTCTCAGAAAGGGTGTTCTGCATCCTTTTTCAGTCAACCTTCCATGAATGTATCACTTCAATCCTCCGCAAAATTGAAATCCTTCAGAAAGTGTGCAAGGTGAGCCACTGGCCTTCTTCTCAGTTTGTTTTATTTCATGTCACTCGGTTTAGCCTTCATATCTTCATCTCGCGTGTCTGTGTGGTGTGTTCACCTCAGACTCTCCAGAGTAGTGAGGCCGTATTGCAGGTGCTCGGCCTGGTGCTGGCTTTTGGCAATTTTATGAACGGAGGAAATCGGTCTCGAGGGCAGGCTGACGGCTTCACCTTGGACATTCTGCCAAAACTGAAGGACGTTAAAAGCAGTGTGAGTACTGGAGTAAAAGCAAACATCACTTACTTTGCAACTGCAGATGTGTAATTCACAACAAACCTGGAAAGGACTGGATTAGAAGTGGGGGAGAAAAAAAATGTATAGAAGAGAGGTCTGTCTAGCTTTGTTTAATTCACATTATGCAGTAAAATATAAATAGGAAAATAATAGTTTTAAAATGGGACACAGGGTTTCAAAGGTATTCTCTCCAAGGGGTCAAGCCTTATGACCATAGCTGGGCAGATTTTGAGGAGAAGCAATCGTGTTTGCTCTGATTCAATATCACAGCAGACTCTGAGTGCCCTTGGCACTGCCATATAAGGACGCAATGGTTTGTGTTTTTGTAGTGGCGGACAGAGTAAGGTATCCATAAAGAACATCAAACTTTCCACCAACTCTTAAGTTATGACGGCCAGCCAAGCACAGTTGTTTTGTTGTAGTACTCTTCCAATGTCATGATTTATTCCTAACTTCTAAGGCTGCTGTCTCCATTCTTGTTTGCCCTGCACAAATTAAAACGTCCTGCTCCAAAATGATTAAATTAATAAATAAAGGGATCTTGGTTTATTTATTTGGATCTTTCTCTTTCTTTCAGGATAACTCCCAGAGTCTTTTGTCCTACATTGTTGCTTACTATTTAAGGCACTTTGATGAGGTATGTTTTGGTTCCTGTTTATTCGAATCACTTTTCTGTTTTAGTCTGATTTGCTTAGAAATCCTTCCAGAGCTCTCTTTTCATCTCCTCTCTTGCCAGAGGATACCATGGCTTATCCTTTATCAAATTATTTATTTTCCCTTTCCTCATTTACGGCAGAAACAAATCTCTCTCTCCCTCTCCCTCCCTCTCTCGCTTTCCCGGGCTCTCTCTTATACTTCTCTTTCTGTCTTTCACTCTTCATCTCCCGCTCCTACTCTGCTTTGGTCTGGCTTCGTTCAAACCTGCAGTCTGTTCATTGGCACAGCATCCAAAGCAGCGCTAGTGTAAATAATTAGGTTCTCCAGATGAGATGAACTCAGTAGTGCAGCTTGCCAAAATCAACCTGCATGACATGGCTGTAGCACTCATTATGACCTGTCACTAATGCTGATGAGGAGAATTGACATGTGCTTTGTGACCCCGGCTTAATGGTCATTATCTGCTGTAGTTTTAGACATCTTCTCTGGCATGTCTGAACTGCTGATAAGTACATGTCGGTCCCTCAAGACATTTATTTAAATCTTGCCTTGTGTGTAAAGTATAGAGAGGCCCTCTTCCATTTGAGAAAGATTGATTTTGACATTGCAGTGTGTGTGTTTTTGCACATGTATGTGTGTTGTCTTTAACCAGGATGCTGGCAAAGAGACATGTGTCTACCCTCTGCCTGAGCCCCTGGACCTTTTCCAGGCTTCCCAGATGAAGTTTGAGGACTTTCAAAGAGATCTCCGCAAGTTGAGGAAAGACCTTAATGGTACAGTGATAAACTTACATTCCATAGTTTTCCTTCTTGTGGGCACATCCTAAACACAGTATTTACAAAATGCTTACAAGGTTGTAAACTTGGTTGTTCTGTAATTACTGCAAGTCTTATAGCATGTTTAAAATGACACTGCATTGATATTTATGCAACATATGATAAAAAAAAATGTATGAATTTAAGTGTTGCTTGCATAATGCAAAATAATTTTCCAGACCTGACCAGCTATGGTCATGTGTGGATTGCACAGGCCAGTCAACATTGAGATAGCATCTGTTTGTTGTACAGACAAGCTAACTGGAAGCAGATGTTACTTGTCAGATGTAGACTCATGTTGGACCTGGCGTACCTTTATTGTCGTCATGAACGAGAAAGAGAAATATAGACAGGGAAAGGTCAAGGAACTTCTACTACTGAGAGAGTCTGTTCAGGCTCTCCTCATTGTCCTGGAACTCAAAAATACAAATATGAGACTATTCAGAAGATAACTGCAGCTATTCATAATCACGTTTCCAAAAAAGTTGGACCACTGTGTAAAACATAAAATAAAAACACAATGAAATGATGTGCAAGTCATTTAAATCCTGCGTTAAACTGAAAACAATAGAAAGACAAATGCTATTTTAGGAATATGTGCTCATTTTAAATTTGTTACTCGTGACATGTTTTAAGAGATGGGGTGGTGTGGGTTGTTCGACAACTAGTTGAAGAACCCACTGTTAATTAGAGTAATAACATAGCTGGCTATATAAAAGGCATACTAGTAAGTTTTTCAGATGCAAAGACATAAAGGGATTATTACTCTGTGATACACTGCATGGATAAATAGTTAAGCCATTTAGGAATTAAATTTCTTAACTTAAAAAGAACAGTAAGACTGTTTTAGGAAGACTTAAACAAGTATTGAAAAAAAGTCAGATACTCTGGCCTCACTGGATTAAATACAGCCTCAATTCTATAGTGGAAATCAGCACACCAGCTCAAAATCACTTACAAAATATATTGTCAATAAACACAGTTAACTAAAACCACCATACAAGGAAAAAACATTTTTAAACATGATGATGAATCACTGGTGCCAACTCTTTACCCAAACATTTTAAAATGGACTCAGGCAATGTGGAAAACTGTCCTGTGACTCATAATCAACTGAAAATTATAGATGCTGGTCTTCAGGACTCAAGTGTCAGGGGACTGCCTAGCTTCGTCTCAGTGCATAGCTCAAAAGCAAGCTTTTGTGATGCTGTAGGGGTGCATTAGTGAACATGGTATGGATACTTCTCTGATCTGCAAAGATTTGATTAAGGCTGATTAATATATACCGTATTAGGAGAAACATTAACCATCCAGATGACCCATTTTTCAGGAAAGAACTTACTTGTTTCAGCGATCAAATACCCAACCGCATTCTGCATGCATTACAATAGTAAAAGAATCTGGATGCAACTGGGGAAACTACATGTAACATGGTTAGTAATGACCTTTATTAACCATGTTTTTCACACAGGGTCAGCATTTAATCCTCAACAATAGTGTTTTGGTGACACAAATTATTATTATTATTATTATTATTATTATTAGACCTAGAAGTTGCTAAGAGTTGGAATGCTAATTTATCAGCTAAGGCTAGCTACCCTTGTTAGCAAGCTGTATTCATAAACTGCATAGGTGCAACCACATTGGCTGATTAGTGCTAAGTGGAAAAAAACACCAGAAGTTCACTCACCTAAGCCTTAGTGTTTAGATAATACATTAAAAATGCTCCACATGCACCAGATACGCACAGTGAAGAAGTCCAGCTTAATCTCGAGCTGTTTGTGAGAGGCCTGTCAGTCAAAAAGGTCATGCCCCTGATTAAGAAGTCGAGGTGGAAGAAAAATATTCACCCTATTTCATGTTGTTATCAGGGGCAAAACTGGTCTAGAATATGCTTTTTGGTGCAGTAAAGAGTCACGTTTTTTGTTTTGTTTTTTCCCCACTTTGCCTTGGCTTCATTTACCAGCTCTGGATCTTGTGCTTTAGTTTTGCTTTTTATATTTAAAATTTAAAAAGTCAGCACAGAATGAACTTGAATCAAGAAAAAGGGGGTTATGTGATAATTCCACAAACCATGGAGTTTGTGGAACAATAACTCTTAAGTGGGAACGCAAAAACACAAAGTAAAATAGGATAATGGAGAACTGTATTAATGTTATGTCACTACACATTAAGATCACAGGAAAAGGTTTGGATATTTGATAATGACAAGCCAAACTCACTGGCTGAGTGAAAAACATCTTAATTTATGCAGCATTTAGAAAATGCTCATTTTCATTATTCTTGCTCTAGAGGTGATTTTTTTTTTTTTTTTTTAAAAGTGTATCTTTGAGCAAAATGAAGCACGTGAGTGTGTACTTGCAGCCTGATCGACTATTCCCTAAACCTGGTCTGTTCTCTATCATGTTTTATGTGTTTTTGCTGCTAAACCAATCAGACGCCTAAAACGTATTGCCAAATATTGTTTTTTCTCTGCTGTAATGATTCTTTAGGCTGTTCATTATTTGCAATTCATAAAGATGGAGTTGCTCACAGGGGAAACTGACTTTCGACCCCAGTGGCTGTGGCACATACTGGCCATACATAAATACATCATCACATGCTATACCTGCAGACCTCTTCATTACCTAGCAGAGGTAGCTGAGTGCTCTAGCAGACATGGGCTTCGATGACAGTTCCCAGAGGGGTTTTCCGATAGGTAGGCGGCGTAGAAATGGCCTTGGCTGGCCCAAAGGACATCAGCAAGTAATGCAGTGGAGAGAGAGCTTGCTTTGCCTTTTTGGCTGAGGCACCATATGGTCGATGAATTACCACTTGCCCAGTCCCGACCTCGTTGTTCCCTTAAGCGTCTCATGGCCTCTCCACCTCTAAGGCCTTGAGCTGAGCTTGTGTATCTGTTATGCTTGCAGATCGAGCGTAACAATAAGTTTCTCCTGGGATCAGACCGCAGGCCTTCCTGGTTGCTAGGGCTAACTTATTAGTCATTATGGGTTATTATGTCTTTGCAGACACTTATTCAGCAAAAATTCAGTAGAGATTTATTAAAGCAAGCTCAGCTAGGTTAAAGAGCACTGCAGATAATTAAAGCGCCAATGGTGGATAAAATATTTCTGTTCTGGAAGACTCCCCCACCCCCCTTATCTTCTAATCTTTTGTTATTTCAGCATGCTCTGCTGAAACGGAGAAAGTTTGCAAATTGTCCTCTGAAGAGAACCTGCAACCATTCAAGGACAAGATGGATGAATTTCTCAATCGAGGTGAGAAAACAACTGAATATGATTTTGTCTACAGTCTATTTGACTCGACTGTCAGTGAATTCCATTTAAATATTAAACTCAACAATGAACTGCAATGTTTGGATCTTTGTATCAAAAGCTTGATGTATCTTTGTATCTGTACCATAGCCGTCTATTACTGACAATCCACACCACTGCACTAATATGTTCCTTCATTACTTTAAACATAGTCACTGTAGTGTATTTGGAGTTCCATAAACACTGTTCTTCTGCTGAAAATCCTTGCCAGATCTGCAGCTGAATTTTCATGTTAAGTATCAGACCTTTCCATAGAAATAATTTACTACTTTAAGAGTGCATGCTTTAATTTAATGATTTGTGTGAGCCTATGTGACGCAGCTCATCCATCAGAATGATGCAAGTTGTCCATGCCTGCAAACACATTTAAGATCTGTTTCATACCGTTTTACAGTTGCTATACACACACACAGACTCAGTCAGTGTAGTTTCCATAGGGACCTCTGTTTATTTCAGGGTGTATTGAATAATTTACTGATGTTGTTTCAAGTTTGCCTATCTGTTTTGAAAGATCATGACTGCACTTGGAGTCAGTTTAGGGTTTTTTTTAATCGTGATCTCTGCCTAATAAAATGAAGCACTCTTGCTCTGACTCAAAGGGGGAAAAAAAGTCTAAATTTGAACTTGTCATGTAGCTTCTTGCTGTAAATTGACTGCCAAGAGGAGAACTGTATAATGTGGCGTAAAACAGACTTTGGAAAATTATCTTTTTCATTAAGTAGACTTTGAATATTACTTGGTCTTTATTTGTGCACTCAGATGTAGAGGAATTTGACTGGAATAATGATACTTTGCCCTAGAGGTATTTGGATGAAAACAACAAAGGGTTTGGCCTCTGAGTACCGTGGCTGCGATAATAAAATTTGTGAGCTGCAAATTTTCAGTCAACAGGAAAAAGCTACTGCATTTTTGTTTAAATAGCATCAAAATCTACCCAAAATATAATCGTGTTTATTTGTCATATTCACCAGATGTCATGAAGTTGAGCTTTTATCTGTAATCTAACATCTGCATGCAGCAATATTAGATTATTGCAGTCTACTTCAAATGTGTAAGACTTACTGGATTTTTTTTTTAAACACTTGTTTTAGAAAAACAAACCAATAGTCATTATTTATGTAGCACTGGCTTTGACCCTGGGTACATTCAGTTGACTGTGACCAATCTTCCTGAAGGACCCAACTTGCAGGCCTCTTTCCAACTGCTTTTGTATTCAAATGAGAGTCTAATACATAGCATATGTGCTTCAGCAGTAATGCTCACTGTCCATTTTAAAGGAAGTCTGCAGATGAAAGCATCTCTCCCATTTCCACCTCTCCCCATCTCCGTTCCTCTCTCTGTGCGTTTGAGAGAAATATGGGGGCTCTCTCTTTGATGCAAATGATGAGGTTTTTCCTCTGAGACCAGAATGTAAGCACTGTAACATGGACATGTGACTCACAAGGCTCCAGACGGGATTCTTGAGGTTCTTCCACTGCAGCAGTGAAAAAAGAAACAACAGCCAAATGTCTTATTTTTGTTATTTCTGTAATTTCTAAAAAGCCTGGGGTTAAACCGTTTCTGGCTCCACAGTTAAAACCGCTTTTGTTTATTTTCTGACCATGCAACTAACCACAGAATAACAGTGGGAGCGGACTTGTTGGAGCTTGGCTGTTTGGTCTAGCTCCATTTTCTCCACTCACTTCACAAATTCTCATGCATGCAGGCCTTTGATGGAGTCAATATGACTAGCAAGAGAGCACCGGCCATGTGATAATCTGTTTCTGATGAATGTAAAGATTACTAGTATGACTGATGGCATACTCTTGCTACATTTTCTACTAACTGCAACCTAAGAAATCAAAGCAAATAAGCCAAGAATGTTAAATAAACTTTTAAACATCAATGCATAGCACATTATGGAAAAAAGAAATATTGACTTTAGATAGACATGTTGATGTTGTGCAACAATGCTGATGTTTTATATCTTTAAATAACCTTTTTTTTTAAGTTTTCCTCTTTTGTTTGATTCTCTCCCATAATATCACAATATCTTAACAACATCACAATAAGATTATTAGAAAAGAGCAAACTATATAGACTTGATACTAAATCATTCGGCATGATAAAGGTTATTTAACAGTCTATTATATATTATATTTTATATTCATTTTTTAAAAATGTTGTCGCATTACTTCATATTTCTCATCAATTTGTTATCATTTTTGATGGACAATCTGCAGTGACGGGCAAGATTGTAGGCTGCAGAGTGATTTAGCACTTTAGAATGATAACGCATAGTGCTCCTCTCAGCAGGTTTGTCTGAGATCTTTAGATGTGGTTCTGGCTTCAATTACACAAAGCAAGCAGATATTCAACTGGGTAAAAGCAGCACACGGGTTTGTGCCAGGAAAGATTCTCTGTTCCATCTACTGTCATCTGTCTCACAAAGCTATTTGCAGGCCATAGGTCATTTCTGATCATTTGACAGTTTAAGACAGCAGGTTACACATTACTGACCTTGAGGGAAAAGAGATGTTATCTGAGCAAGAATTTAATGCCTAGCCTTTTGACAGTTATACAGCACCATAGTGAAGATATAGACCAACAAAACACAGCTGGATCGACTCTACAACTGCTGATATATTGAAAAAATGAGATGAAAAATCAGCCCTTGGATCTGAAATTTGATGAGTACTAACCTGCGATGCTTGTCTAACCAAGGCTGTCACATTTGACTGCTTTTCGTTCATATCATAATTTATAACGCAGTCAAAATGATCCCGATGGCACCCCAAGATAAGTGTTGTGGTCTGCTGGAACTGCTTGCTAATGTGCACCATGATGTCCAACTACTCCCTCACACCTCACACAAACGTGAACACAGTCATCTGTCTCCATTTGAAGTAATATTACACAAAGAAGCACTTGTTCTGCAATCTCCACTACTCATTTGTCAGTTGTGCAACAGCATACAATCCAACACTCAATAATGTCATGGCTCGATGTTGACCCTGAGCAGGACTTTTGAGTTAAGTAATGGTGACATCTTGAATCTCCTGGTATATACAAATCACACTATAAATGAAAGAGCTGTCTTTTAAGGGAAATGCAAAATCAGTCTATTTGCAAATGCATAATTTTTTTTTCTTACTCTTTCACAGCCAAAACTGAACTGGAAACGCAGGAGAACCAGCTAGCAGAAACTCAGAAGATGTAAGAAGAGTAGTGTGCGTGTGTGTGTGTGTGTGTGTGTGTGTGTGTGTGTGTGTGTGTGTGTGTGTGTGT